TGTAGGACTCATATGGCCACTGCGACCAATCATCTTTCCCTGGTAAGAAGCTGTCGAAGAGCTGTACTCATTTGCGACTTTCATTGTTACGTGAACAGAAACGCCTGTACTAGTGGTCAGATTTTTGAAAATTTGTGAAAGTCACAAAAAATTGCAGCAGCATAACCCTAAAATTTTCATTAGAAGTCGTGTGCATGGCGGATCCCGAATTCGGTTAATCAACTTCGAACAGCTTACTTTTCGTCTTTCCATCCATTATGAATCGTTTTCCAGAAATATCTTCAAGAGTTCGGCTATGTAACGCCTAGTAACACTCTCAACTCTGCACCGGGAATGTCCGGTGATTTCAGCGATGTGGGGAGCCTCTTCAAACGAGCTATCGCGTACGTATTTCTCACCAGCTTATTAAAAATTACGAAAATGTCATAATTTTACTTCTCCGAACCTTCCAGTCTTCAGATTAGAAGTAACATGAACGCTCATCATGACTTCTACTTTTATTTGGTTCCAATTTTCACTTCCTTTAGACAGACATCAAACTAATCCTTCTTCAAGAACACAGCTTTGTAATCTAAAACCCGACCTTAATCCCGTCTTCATACCTACCCTTAAATGCTTCCTATTTTCAGAAAATTTCAAGAATTTGCTGGGATAAAGCCGACCGGGGTTCTAGATCTGGACACCAAGAAGAAGATGGCTGAACCGAGATGTGGAGTGACAGACGTGTTGGCAGTCACCAGTGGAGGTGCTTGTTTGCCTGCTTTTGTTGAAAAAAATCACGTTGCAAACCTTCGAATTACTGGGAAATCTATGCATTTTTGATCTTAGGAAACCTGCTCCGCCGCTTTTCAAACCTTTCTTCGAATATTCGATCCGAAATATTTGCATAATGCATAAGCTGCGCTCAAAAGTGTCTAATTGTCCATTTTTTATTCATTTGGATCTATTCCAGTCGCTCTAATGCTTATTCCATGGTGCGCCCGGTTGCGGTGCAGTTCGCGTAAATATTCACTTAGATCGCTTTGCATAGTCCCACAGTGTCAACCGTCGATTGTACAATCCAAAGGGGATTTTTGGAAGGGTATCCTATCTGGGATTTACAATAAGCCCGGTCGAGCCAGTCAAAATTCACTATAATCTTCACATAGTCGTTCGTCATAAATTCGGTGCGGTTTCGATGAAGCATTGAATCAACTGTCTTACCAGAATATCGTACACATCGAACTTCGAACCGGGCAGGGAGGTTTGACAACTAATGCCGATTCGTGGCTGTGTGGAGAGAGCATTTTCGCAATTTTTTCACATTTTTCTAAAAGTGTTCGATAAACGTTTTTTCGGCACGCAAGTCCTACTTAAAATAATGACCGGAGGTGGGAAAGGCGGTGAGAACGGTGATGGGTAAGACCGTACTTAAATGCACCGTCATCCTGAAACTACGCTTGGAAACGAACTAGATCAACGCACTTAGTTCTTGTCACTTTTACCGAATCGTTTCAACCAAAGATATCTCATTTGCATGGCGAGTGGTGTAGTGGCAAGTGGCACGCTTACCACGCGAGCGGTCCGGGATCAAATCCTGGGTCGTGAGTCGCCCGGGCCAACCAAGCCTTCCATCCCTCCGGGTCGGTTAATTGGTACCAGACTTGTCTGGGAGGATAAAAACACTGACTTGTACATCGGCTGGCCCCCGCAAGTCATTGTATAGGCCACATCGCATTCAAACGCCACTACGAATGTACAAATGGAAGTAGAATGCGTGCCGCATCCCAAAAAGGGATTGATCAACGGCAAATGCTTTATCCTTTTATCCTTTATCTCATTTGAATGGACATAACTCAGAAGAATTGGTTTTGATGAAACTTTATTATGTACAACAACTGGGTCCCCTAGGTTCAACTCAAAGTGGGTGATACCTGTCAGTCAGTTGTTAGTTTGCTGAAAAATTCAAATTTTCAGGGGCTGCCTTCAAGTGGCGAAAGAATCGCCTCACCTATTCAATCGAGAACTTCTCACCCGACTTGCCACGTGAAGATGTCAGGTACGACTTATCGTTAGTGATAGATTTTTATCATAACTCTTGTAATAGTACTAATAAGCAAAGTCGACTGCTTTCGTAAATCTTAGTGAAAAATGTGATTCATCTTGTGGACCTGAGCCGTGAGCAGTTTAAGGTTCCAAATTTGTGGATGAATGTTTCAGAGTGAATACTTAGCGAATTTCAGACGTGCAATCCGTGAAGGCTACGACGTCTGGGCCGCAGTCACTCCACTCGAATTTGAAGAAGTACAGCCCGGAAGTGGAGCTGACATCAAGGTACAGCAGGAAGCAGTGGTCTTAGAGATCTTGAAATTATTTTTTCCAAGGTTTTTAGTGAAAAGATTCTAATGGATCATCAAAATGTTCAGGTACGTTTCGGCACCGGTAATCACAACGATCCATGGCCCTTTGACGGACAAGGTGAGACGCTACAAAAAAAAGAATTAAAAAAGAGAATTGATAAGGAGTGAAGCGCTAATCCTTACGTTTACTTCCCAGCGTCACCAATAGATTGTTTTGAAACGGAGCAATAAAGTGGTAGTGCTGGTCTAGCTGTACTTAACATTTACTTTTTAGTCATGACCCAAAGCTGGTGGTTCATGTTCAGAAAGTTTTACGTTTGTGAAGAATTTTGAAGGGAAGTATTTTAATTTCAAGCTGGACCCGCTGATATTATTAGAAACTGGTAACCACCAAAGTAAAAAAAAAACCGTACCCAAAATAAGCACCGAGTACATATTTTGTACAACATACTATAATAGTTGTGGCGTGTGACTCAGGACGGAGGAAGTGGAGAATGTTTATTGCACTCCATGGGGGTGCTTATATAGGGGGATAATCATAATCTTCGTGATTCCTCATCTTGCAATTCTCACGTCCAGTTTCTCCATTCCATCACTTCTCATCCTGAAACCGGCCAATTCCCCCCTAACAATAATAATATGACTTTATACTGTTCACATAGGTGGAGTACTGGCTCATGCCACTATGCCAGAAAATGGAGCACTCCATTTCGATGACGACGAAAAATGGACGTACATGGACCCGAAAAAAATCGCCAGGTATACCTACCTCTTTCCTTCCAATCTCGGATAATTTTTTGCTCATATGAAGAAACTACATAATTTTAGACTAAGCGTAGGTGCTAGTAATTTGTGTGTCTAATCTTAAATGCAGATATTTGAGCGCTGTTTCATGACTGTCCACTTGTTTGTTCACTGACTGTACAGTGTGGTGGTATATGCGGTAGCTTTTCATGGGTCCAAGAGGCCCGTCGCGCGGCAAGAAGGCAGAGTCGGCGGACGAGTTGCAGCGCGTGGTGTGCGATGTAGGACGTGCAGTGGGACACTCTATTTAACTTGACGCGAAATCCCTATAGTACGCGCGCGACTCGTCCGCTGACTTTGCCTTCTTGCCGCGCGACGGGCCTCCTGGGGGGTACCCGCTTTTCATGCGCAAGGTCCGATGCAATCCCGCATCACATCCCCCCCTCTCCAGGCAAACATACCTCTCTTTCCCTCCAAGATTGATTATTTTCTAGGCAACCTCGTTCAAAAAGACAAAAACAGCGGTCGTATCAAGTCGTACGCAAATGTTCAATTACGAATAAATTGGCAGCAGCTTGGCGCAACCAAATACGGATCTTGCGCGCTTACCTGAAAGCAAATTGTGTTCCTGCCCTCAATATTTTCATTGATAACTCAACTATCGAGGTATCCATTCAGAAAATTGTGAATGGAGCCAGTACAATACAATACAGAGATGTGCAGTGCTGTTAGAAGCGTGCGATAGGTCAAGACCAAGCAAAGATACTTTCGATTGGGAACCAATTACTGCATTGCTAATCTCATCTGACTGATAAAACCTTGATTAGGGGAACTTCTCCACAGAAGGATGATTAGGGCAAAGAGCGTCTCTTCGTTCTCCATTCCGTAGACTGGAGGACCATATGGTGTTCCTCCACCTTTAACTCACTCAGGAGATCTGCTCACTAAGGGACGCATTAGACGATGCTCCCGTTTACCCTACTTGTAAGGGGAACTACCCTAAAGCGTGAAATAAATGTGTGAAACCCATGACATTTTTTGCCTCGATATTGGGCCTTCTCTAATAGTTAAGTGGTCGATTTACTCACAATGTGCGACCTCGGCGGAACTCCCAATTGTCCGATTAGTTCGATCAGGAGAACGATCACTAGGCAGAGGAGCATGGTTTAAGTTTATGGTCTCACGCATCGACCAAAAACCCACTGTTATATTTCTGAAATCATGAGCAGTTCTAAGAGGTATGTTTGCTATAGAAATTGTCTTTAAGTACCACTATGTTTACAAAAGTTCATGTCGGAACAAAATAACAGAACAGAATCCCCGAAAGTAACAAAATCTTTCTCTCTCCATTTTTTTGTTTATGATTTCGGCCTTTTCCCAGATTTTACAAGAAACAGTGTTTCTCATTTCACAAGAATGCTGGGTTGTGAACAAAACTTTCGCCCCAGGCGGGACTAGAACCCGCACCTCTCGCTTTCCGGGCAAGTGCGCTACCAGTTACGCTACCCGCCTGGGGCGAAAGTTTTGTTCACAACCCAGCATTCTTGTGAAACATTCGCAAGGCGAACTGCGGCCAAAAACAGCAGTTAACAAACAAAAACAAGTGTTTCTTATTTTTCTAGAGGAACAACCTTTTTTAAAGTTGCTACATACTATTTTCTTTTCGTATGAACGAGTATTTTTAATGCTTTTCAGTGGCGACTACACAGACCTGTTCGCGGTAGCAATTCATGAGGGCGGACATACTCTTGGGCTGTCGCACTCGAAGAGACGAAAGCTCCATCATGGCGCCGTTCTATCACGAAACGGTAAGATTTATCGTTTCCCAAAACTTAAGGAAGTTTTTTTTATGTGGTTTTCTTTTATGTGGTATTGTCCCTGTTAAGATATGACGCCTATTTCACATTCTTTACTAGGGAAAGATCGTAGGTTGAAGTGAACATTCTCAGACACATTGTGCTAATGACACGCTAACGAACAGCTTCCCCGAATAAAAGCCTCCATAAGCGGTAGGGAACCGTTTCCAGGTTTCGAATGCGAATTCAATTAGCGCTTAGAAAGGTGTCCATTTTCATTTGTACTGCTACAAATGACCATCTTGATCTGCGCTCCTCCATGGCCGGTATCGCTTCGTAGAGGCTTCCGCACAAGTGTCCTTATATGGGCAACTAGAGCTGAGTCGCTGTGGCATTTTGGCCTCATCTTTGAAAAGTGGGCTAGTTAGCTGGTTGCAGAACGTGAACGTCCTAGCTGGTCAAATAGGTCTGAAGCATCGCTCGGGTCAATGCCTCTGCAATTCCCCATTGCTCCATCTGAGCCGGAAAATTTTTGATAGCTGAAATCGATTTTGTAATTGACGAATCGCTGGCTTTTTTTAACGCATCTACTACGTTGCGTAACCCGTACAGGAATCCCGTACAGGAATGTTCCTGTTCCTGTAAGACGGTGTTGTGTCCTACAAAACCTCAATTAGCGACGGGCCGAGCAGCCCTTGTCTTGTGTTCGCATTTTACTAAATGACTTGTTGATCGAAACTCCATTGCAAATAGCGGTTCGATTGATCAGTTCGATTTTATTATGAATTACACAATTCAGGTCGATTCCAGAGGTAACTACATAAAGCCTACATTGAAGGCAGACGACATTTCCAGCATCCAGGATATCTACGGTACATAAACACACCCTCATTCAGCCGTTTTGATATATTTAAAACAAAAGAAATGCAGCAAATCTTTTCGTCCCTTGAAATGTGCTGGATATCGTTGCATTCGCCCTGAGATGCTAAGCTCAGGACTGCTCTCCTTATCTGCTGAACGATTACCTAAATGGAGTCAAAATTGAGTCACCAGAGTTTTTTGCTCCACTATCATGGAATGTGTTCTTATTGAGAGTGCCCTTAACCCTTTGACGACAATGCGGATTTGCACGTAGCGTGCTCGTGGGACCACGCCTCTTTTTGGCGCGCCCAACTCTCGCACAAAATGGGGCAAAATTGTCCCTAAAAGCAGTTTTTCTATCAAAATTTTGACTATGACAATAAACAAAATATGACTGCAGTCTTAAGCTTTATGATCATGTATTGTTGGAATTAGAAGTGGAAGTTTGGAAAGAAATCTCGGATTTCAAAGGGATGGTGTTTGAAAACTCTAGAAGTTCAAATGTACAGTAGAATTTTTGATATAGTTCAAACTCCTCCTTGTGTCTTAAGACTGTGAAAAGACGTAGAGGTCCTGATCTGTAATTCACCTTAAGCTTAATAATGTAAAACACTAGTTAATACCTTGCGGAGCAAAGTGCCACATCCTAAAACTTCACACAAATTAGCTAGTAACAAACATTTCTGCAAAATATGCTAACCATAGGAGCTTGCTCATAATTGCTGATATGTTGAAAGTGTTTGAGATGGGTAAAGAAGAAAATTTTAGGGTGGGACCCACCATTGGTTGTCATTGTCCCACGTGACGGTAATAGTGGCAGCCACCGGTGGGTGCCATTGTCGCAAAGGGTTAAAGGAATCTTGCGCGGAAAAATCATGATTCTATTTCAGCCATAAATCACTGGCTTGAGACTCATTATCCACGATAATAGTGAAAAGAACTGAAGTATTGCTTTCGTTTTGATTAGAAATTCGAAAACTCGAAAAGGCTGCTACGCGTTCGAATTGCCCACGGACGTCTTTCACGAATGCTGGCGACGGGGATGCTCAAACTTGGTTCTTGGAGTGCATTCACTTAGATGCTATTCTTTCGCCTATCTGTTCGTCTGCATTCACATCTTATCACTTCCTACCCCATCCGGGTATTCAGTCGATGGATTCTGTACTCTCTTCCGTGGGAATTTTCCGCGCAAGATTCCTTTAACTGAAGTAATGATTTGCATAGTTAACCTGGTTCTTGCAAGTGGAAAGGGAGCAATTCGGCAAGAGGTTAATCCTACGACCTCGTGCCTGTGAGCTCGAGCCACAACCGTTGCGTTTTCGTTGTGTCGTCCACAGAATTAATTACCAGATGAGAAAAACAGTTCTGGACGCAGCATCCCAAGGCGAATGCAGCGATATATAATTCATTTCAATTGCCCAGACTGACCTGTTGATTTGTAAGAAGCATCGTTCCCAATGTGTCTTTTCCCAGGTCCACGTACTTCTCCACGTCGGACGAGTGGCGGCTCATCGTTTGGTGGTGGCAGTGACTCCGGCTTTGGTAAGGAACAATGACAATATAACATCTATTATTCAGTCAACATAAAATGGAGTGCTCTATCGGACAGTCTTTTTCACGTATAGATCTCAACATTGGGCAAATTTAAGTGTTTTATTCCTTCTTTTGCCAATACAATGATTTTAATCACTCTGTTGTTTAGATCGCGATCGAGGTTCGTCAAGAGATCGTACAACTACCGAAAGGCCCACTACGAGGAGCTGGTTTGGACGGTTCTTCGGTGGCGGCGGTAAGTAGTAATCAGCTGGGAACATCTGCAATTTGCGGAATGATGGAGGGCGTGTGGCCAAGAGCAATCGCTTATCTACCTCTCGATGAAAAACCTTTTGTGGTCGCTGGGTATACAGCGATAATAAAGCAAGTTTCATGGGCAGCGAACTTTTTTTTCTAAAGAATTTTAGTGAAAAAAACGTGAAAATGATTCCGGGCACCATGTGTTATCGTGAAGCTGCCATCACCTATTATGGAGCGTTTCGTCTGCGGTCTGTCATCCGTCTGTCGTCTGTCGTCTGTCGTTCTGTCACGGTGTCCGTCACGAGATTGTCTACTCTCTGAAACTACCCCTAAAGAGATCGGATACAGCCACGTATGGATGGGCCATGTTTCGAGAAGTACAAAACACACATCACCAGACAGAGCTTCGCCCATAGTGGGCGTGGCGTAAGTCGAAATGCGCGGCACTAACCAAAAAAAAAGAAGATTTTGAAGATCGATCCCAGCGCAGCCTAGAGATCTAGGGAAAATGTGAAAACGTGTGCATTAATGAGCCAGATCGAATGGGACCTACCTTTGGTGGGCGGAGCGTTCTCTATATTCGTATATGAGAATGCCTAAACAGTTTGCATCTTGCGGGCGCTAAGCTGACGTATGTACGAGACAGTGTTTTTATCCTCCTAGACGAGTATGGTGCTGACTAATCAAGACTAGAAGGATGAAAGGCTTCCTTGGAATGAGCTAGCTTCGATCCTGACGTTTACTGTGGTTTGTGGGCGCAGTATGCGTATCCTCTCGGACTTGCAGTGTTGGGTATATAAAAGTATGGAACTGGGTTTAGTACGATCATAACGGGTTTCTCTGGCTCTTATCTCCCTTATTTGCACCACAGGTCTGTTTTTATAGCTGCACTTAGTACTCCATATTCTGCTGTAATCAAATTAGTGAAGTAACAGTTGGCTTGAGTGAGACCAAAACCTGATTGATCTGATTGCTGTGCCAATCGTTTAACTGGAAGTGTGCAGTTTCAGTATTTGTAAGCTGTACGCCAGTATGGCATTCAAGGGTAAATACTTTTATCTATGTGTACCTATTAACACTGGACAATCCAAAGCGGCATACAGCATTCATTACTAACTTCCTGGCATCCATTCG